CTCTATATTTTAACTGGAAAAGTTAGGGGTCGTCTTATACGCCCAGTCGTCTTATATGCCCGAAAATGCATTCTAGCTTTAAAACAATAAAATTAGAACAGAGTGAAGAAAGAGATAAGAGGTGGATTATAAAGAAAACATATTCCCTTCACTTTACATATTCTGAAGTGTTACCTTCCTTGACAAAGAGAGCATGCAGCAAAATCCACCAGTTATGGAAGAAATCAACAATGGAGATTGTCTTCCCACCATAATCCTCCAGTTGCAGGTCAGGGCTGAAGGCTGAAAGCTTTGGCTATTCAGACATATACAGACAAGTGCTTTTATGATTTCATAGAGAGAGGTTTTGGCTTTGTTACCTGTGTTACCTAGGAAACCAGGGTATTATTCCCCCCTTGCTTTGCTTGTGAAGACTATTCCATATTAAGCAGATCAACTAGTTCATCAAAGTTAGGAATTTTTAGAAGAAATATTCTGGAGGGAAACAGGAATATACTCATGCTGCATGTAGAAAGGAAGTTACTCTAGGGTCACAGGACAGATGTCATAAACTGCTTTCCAGAAGCAAAGCACACCCACTTTACCTCCAAATTTGAAAAAAAGTTACTTTTTTGAATCGTAACTCCCAGAATACCCAATTGCCATATTGTGCAGGGACAACCTTACAATTTGTCAGAGTGAGATGGCTGCTAGGCATCAGAACTCGAATGTCATGACAGGCCAGCAAATTATTAGTTATTTAATTTATTACAATTATATGTTTTTGCTGGATGGAGTGGGTACTTGCAGACCCTCTGTGTCAGGTGCTACAATAACTTGGCTGGCCTTAAGTAGCATGTATTTTTCTTTGGGAAACAAGTAGGGATGTGATTCTTCATTAATTTTGGTCTTGAATGGAGCAACAAGTAATTTTAGCTATTTTCTTCCCACTGTGAGAATATCTTTGAAAGCTGTAAAGATTTTGAAGATTATTTATAGTACTGGACTTACTTTGTGCACAACTGGCATGTAGGCTTTTTGCATAGATATTAGTTTCTGTACAGAAAATTCTGTAGTTGGGGATCCATTCAACACAAAATTCACATGTGTTTTTTTGTGTACAGAAAACAGTATTTTCTGTGCAGGAAATAGCATTTACTTCACTGAAAATGTTGTTTCCTTTACATAAAATATACAGCATATTTGTATATCTAATTGCCTAAAGTGATATGTATCTGGTTGTCATACAAGTATACCATAGCAACAAAATAAAGTGGATATGTACCGTAATTTGAAACCATGCTGCAGAAATAATCCAGTATGAGACCACTTTAACTGCCCTGAC